ACAATTGCACAGTGTTGATTGTTTTTAATCACTGGCAAAGTTCAACAATACCGTCCCAATGGATCCGAACGCATGAGTGACCTTGAGATGACCAATCAGAAAAACCGAGGATTTTCGTATAAAAATATACGTATATTTACATAAAAAAGCATGAGAGAAGAAACATTAAACAGGGAATTTTTGCCTAATATGAGATAAAAATATGCCCCCCTCCCCCAATTATAATGAGGAGTTTCAGTTTTTTAATTATAAACCAATTTCTATACATATATATTCATCCAGATGACTAAAACTAACTTGGTTTTGAGATCCGTTTATACCTCTTATTCTATTCTTGAGTCTTCCCCAGAAAACTTCTATTGAATTCGTATGAGTACCGGTTCTTGGATCGACGAAGTTATCCGAATGATTAACTCGACAATGTATATATCTCAAGCTCATTTGAGTGTTCACACTCCTGGGATACTATTCTTGAACTTTGGCTTACACTATGAATAGGACTGATTGAAGGTTTTACTGTTAGTAATATTATTTTTATTATTAGATACTAATTCAGTAGTATCTATCATAAACAAAGTGATTACACTTTAATTGATTGGTGGATGGTGACTCGCAGTGGACTCGCAGTCCAGTCCAGGATAAGGCGAATTTCACCGGTCCTATTTGGTAGTCTCCAACAAACTTCAGACCTTCATCAACAGCTGGTTATTCTCGCTCAATACTCAAGATCAGATGACCAGCCAGAAAAGATCAGCAACAGGAATATCTGGGAATGAGCGAACCAACACAGCAGGAACCGATTGTCAAACAAATAGGCAAGAAGAAATGGAGATGGATTGGCCGGCTACACTCTGAGGAAACCATCAAGTGAGTGACATCACTAGACAATTCATTGCTCGAGTGGAACTCGAAAGGGAAGCGGGAGGAGAGTTGGTCATCGATGCAAGGGTGACTTTGAGGAGGTCATGTGAAGGGAAGGAGATGAAAGCGTGTGGACAGACCTGGAGCGGGGTGAAAAAGTTGTCAGAAAACAGAAGGCAATGGAGGAGGTGCACAGCTGAAGCCCTATGTTCCTCTAGGAACTAAAGGATACAATAATAATAATAATATTTGGGTGTCTTCAGATGGCTGGAGGATGTACCAGCACTTCGCAGTCAGTGAATGATTGCTGACGGGAAAATCTAAAATACAACTGAAGTGATCACACATCCTTTATTCTTGATGACACTGGTGTGAAGTGATAGAAGTAGAAGTGATAAACAACAGCAGGTGTGTTTCACTCACTCACTACCTATGACATAGTTAATTAATGTCTTTATATAAGCCTCATTAGATTATCACGTGACCCTTTAAATGTACAGTTCTCTTCAGCTGACTAGGGTTTAATCGATCATATAATAATAATAATAATAACAGTAATAGTCGAATAGCAAATATGCCGTGAACGATCACTTGACAATGACAGACGATTTATATGTTGCGCCTTTTTTGCATTGGTGACAATATAATCATCATTCAGTGAGGAACTGACTATATTTGCACATGTCAGTCAAAGCATCAGACAGCCTGCAATGCCAACAACAACAGCAACAAAAAATGGAGACACAAAGGTGGATCAATAAATAAAGTGCTCAGAGCCAAAGAAGAATAGTCAATAATAATAATTATTATTATTATTATCTGCTTTATTCCAAAAACAGCACTCCTTATAATACAGAATGGAATTCTCAGCATTTGTCACAACACCTTGCATCTGATTTACTCAAAATATAAATAAAATTAAAACAAAAGTAACCAAAGGAATTTGTCCACGCTTACGATATAAAGTCAAAAATATTCGAAGCACGAATTGAGATCTTTAAATAATAATAATAGTAATAATATAACAGTGAGTTTGTTTCAAACAGTATTGCCGATTCAGTTTGAAAATTTTAGCATGTTACTATAGAATATTGAATCTAATGTTCTGTTGGTACAGCAGCATGATGAGGGGAAATACAAAATTAACAGTTATAAAACAGCTTAAATGATTGATGTTCACACTTTTGAGAAAATAAATATAAATAAAAACAAAAAATTGAGAGGATTATAAATATAAGAAATACAATAACAATAAAGGTTGATGTTGTAAGGATGGAGGAAAATGGTTCATTTAGTAATGCAAAGAAGGTTAGTTAGTTAGTTCATCGCTGACACTTGTTTCATCACATAAAGTACGCGCCGTCAAACATGCTATAGTGGAATTACTTTTATCCTTAGATGTACGTGCGTAAATTCGCCTTAAAAGACTTCTTGTTTTACCTGGGGAGATACAAGACTGGAGCTGTGGATAAAGTGGATGCTCACAGTCTGACAAAATTCCTTTATCAAATTTGTTGCATGACATCAAGTGCCTATCGTGAATGACAATGTCAACCATATGGCCTAATGGGATACCACTCGCCCTACTGACCGACTGACTGACTGACTGACAGTCTTCAGAGTTCTACGAAGTATGACATAGTCGTTTTTTTAAGCAATCCAGGAGAGAATAAGCAGGGCTAAACAGTAAGGAAGAATAGGTAGGATGCATGCACGAGTTGACAAACTGTAATAGGAGGAGGGTTTGAGCTCTGCCTGAGTCCCTTAACTTCCTAATGTAAAAATTCAGACGAAATATTCTTTGAGTAATCTCTAAGACATGGGAAAACCAGGATAGGTAGGTCAGTGGAAATAATTAATCCAAGATACTTAACCTCAGACTTAGTTTGTATATCCTCACTATCATCAATTTTACAACGAGCATAGGAACCAACAGCTTCAGCATTTAACTTTCTTTTACATCGGAAACTGAAATTAACAGTCTGACATTTGGAAGGATTTAGTTTAAGACCGACCATTTGACGAAAACCATTTTCTAACTCCTGTTAGAAAGCTGTTCATCTTAGTACAGTACAATCTAGCTGGTTGGAGTAAACGGACATTGAAATAGTTAGATTGTCAGCATACTTAACAAAGTTCCTTTCATAATCAGAGTGAGGCAAGTCATTCAAGAAGAAAGAAAACAGAAAAGGAGAAAGGACACCGCCTTGACGAGCACCACCAGCCTCAGTTAGCAACGAAGTGGACGACTTTCCCTGACTGACATACAGTGTACTACTTTCTTCCTGAGAAATAAGAATGCAGCTATTTAACAACCCAACCGTCAGTTTGAGTTTCAGCGAGCTTGTTTAAGAAAATTTATAACAAAATTACTTGAAGAAGATTGTAGAAGTTATGATCATGTTTTAAATTAAGAAAAATATGAAGCAAACGTAGATTGTATTTTGTTTTAGCAGGTAAGTCAGTAAGTCAGTCTTCGTTCTTGTTCTTGTTCTTTTCTCATGACCAATATTTGGGACATAAACATTTACGTAAATTACTGTCTACCAATTTGGGTCTATTTAATTTTCCTATCGTTTGTCTGTTTGTCTGAGACCCTATGCAGGATTCGTACTAACAAAGCGGGAATTAGGATGATGGTGGTGGCATTCAAACCTACAAACTCACTCAGATAGGACAAACTCTGTAGGTTAAACGACCCTGTCGTTTGACCCAATTAAACAAGATAATTAAAAACAATTAGTCCCTTTTATAAATTTGGACAGCGATATGATTAGAAGACGGAGATTATCTGAAAAACGATGTGATGTGATGTATTTGCGTTATACATTTCGAACAATCTGATCCCTCACATATTTACTTGTCAAGTCGATATATATGCATGAAAAAGTTAAATTAAACAAAGTGACAAAACAAAAAAGATCTAAGAATGATTAACACAGCGTTTGGTAATCCAATCATATAAGCATCGACTTGACAAGTAAACGTGTGATCAGACTGTTTGACATGTATAGCGAAAATACATTACACTGCTTTTCAGGTAATCTCCGTCTTCTAATAACACTATTCAATCAAAATAATACAATTTACAAAATACCTTGCAATGACTGCGAGTTAGATCAACAATATAGGTCAAACTAGTAGATCGGTCGGGTGTAATCAGATTGTTGGAATATAAGAATTTAGTGACTAAGGTGAGAATGGTTGACCCCACCTAAGAAGACAAGTAATATAGAAAGAAGAATTCAGCATTACACTGCACTGCATGCATGCATTAACACACAACCACACAGTGGCATGGTGGAAGACGCTTAAGATTCTATGAAGTAATGCATACAGTTGGAGAGCGAGAGAGGTTGATTACTGAATCCTGACTGGTTCATCGAGTCTACACCCAACACAACACAACACATGCAACAGAAATGACTCAATGCAAATACCAGAAATATGCGTGGAAGATATTATTACCACCAGTCAGTTAGTCAGTCAGTCAGTCAGTGAAATCAGAGGAGGATAATAAATAATCTCAAATTGTATTCTATTTCAATTCAATCCACGTACATCATCACAACATTCCAACAAGTTACTCACTTATTTTGACTATAAATAAAACATTCGTCTCATTTCCCATCTGATTATTGTAATTGATCACTCATAACACTCATATTATTATGATTATTATTTCTGAGTGTACATTATCCCATATTACTGATTTGTATTCAAATATCTAATCATGAATTCCACTCATGTATATAAATGAAGGAAACAAGAAAGTTGTGTGAGTGAGTGAGTGACTTGATGTGATGATTATGAGTGGGAATAATAATAAATTGTGCTCGAAATGGCGTGTGTGGTCGCATCGGTTAATATTACTTACTGTATAACAAACACTACACTGCACTGTGTGACAGTTTATCAAAATAAAATCTTATCCATAATGGAGAAAAATATTTCCTGCCTAGTCATCGTGATGTGAAACAGTGCAGAAAAACAACACAGCCTTTTTCTACTGAATAAGCAAGTGACTAGGTATAAAATTGCGCAGATTGAAGACTATTAACCAACCGATATAGTAACACTGTTGTAAAATAAGTAAAATTATTAAAACTTTTATAATTCTTCTTCTTCTTCAAACTTACTTCAAACATATTCTTGCCTTTTAGAAGTACACGACCACCAAAACTTGCGCATCGTTCACGTTTCATAACACTGGCATTTTCAGGCATAATCACAGTAACTGGTATATTCAACAACTTTCCATGGTAAGCCAAACCAAGGGCATGATTTCCAGCACTGCAAGCAATGACACCACGTTTAGCCTCATCCTTGTAAATATAAATCAATAAATATTTCAAAGACACATTATTTTGTAAGTATACTTTTAATTACACTTATTTAATCTGCCTACAAGAAAACATACTCTTCAATACGCCTCGTGAATTTCTATAAAAGACGGATGATGTAGAAAATACGCACGCACGCACCCACCCACCCACCCCACCGCCAGGGTTCGAACCCAGGACCAGGTTCTGTTCACAAGGCGAGCTGCTGCTGCTGAAGAGTCAGTCCTAAATCTAGGCTAACGAAACAGTTGTCTGGTATACCTGTCCAGTACTCTTCCCTGTTTGGTGTTTCCTTTCAGTGATTCTCTAACGCTGATGTCAGTCAGTTCATGCTGAATGAAATCATTCATCCAGCCAAACTAAATCCCCACAAAATCAATACTTGCGTGATGAGAGCTGTCTACTAGCTAGCCAAATTGGTAGACAGTAATTCGCGTCAATTTTTATGTCCTCAATATTGGTCATGCAAAAAAAAGAACAAAGACTGACTGACTGACTCAACAACCAATCACAGTGGTTAGGACTCTCGCCAATCATGCACATGGTCCGAGGTTCGATCCCCTGCCGACGCACACCTGATATCTATGGTCGGCCTACGAAATTTGGGCTACCGATATCCATGCTGAAAATTCCATACTTGTACCAAACATAGAGTGTGGAATCAAGCTTTAATATGAAATATAAATAAATAAACTTTGAGTAAGCGTAGGCGGATACAATTAGCAGATAGATAGATGATCTGACCTTCACGAAACAGCCATAAAGAGAAACAACCAATCAGAAGACTGTGTTTGCCTGCTGACAACAATAATCTATAATAATGTACGTGGAAATCTATAAATATGTGTTGATTTGTAATTAACAAAATAAATTGTATGAACTGTAACAAGCATAACATCGGCCAAAGTGGGCGTCCCCTTCGAATTAGAATCCAAGAACACAAATCAGCCGTGAAAAGACACCCTATATATTCTTTAGTATCAATGCATATGGACAATTATGGACATCAATTTGATTGGGATAATGTCAAAATCTTAAACAGAGAAAACATCAAAAGTGTCAGGGTATTCCTATAAGCCTGGTGATCTGTCTGTCTGTCTGGATTCAGCATAGAACTTGGCACCGAAGTGCACCAGTTCGAGTTGCCACCTTCCAAATAGCACACAGAGGTAGACAAGAAGATGAGTGAAGAGAATCAATACAGTCTGACAAGTATAAGAGTGAAACAGAATGGGTAATGGTAGAAAGGAGGAATATGAAAGATTACAGAGACTGAATACATCTGCCCTGGCCATTGACAACAATTTTGAGCCATGTCACCTATTGTCTCCAGCCATTGATTCCTAGAGTCCCGAGGGCCCCAACCCGGAAGTCTGCATCTCCCCATCTACCTGACTCAGTTTAACTGTCAAGGATTTCATGGATTGATGAGGCCATGTTTTTGTTTGGCCACCACTGGCTCTTTTCCAACCTGCACCTATATCAGCTAGCAATGCCCGTCGGGGGAGGCGGTGGTTAGGCATGCGCAGCCCGTGACCTAGCCATCTCTATGCCATCTATGTAACTTTATAGCCTCGTCGATTGATTTTCCCTCTTAGCCCAACACTCTTCGCCTAACGTCAACATTACTTACCTTGTTAAACCACCTAACGTGAGACAGAGATCGCAGACATCTATGATCGAAAACAGTCAACCTTTTCATGTCTTGCTGATCCTTGCTGAGATTTCATCGCCAATCAGTCCGTTGGTGCTAATACAACTTCCCAAATAGGTGAAGTGGTCAACATGTTCTATCACTTCACTCCCTATCACTAAGTTAGGAGTTGACGTAGTCCAGTCCTGTAGCAGCATCTTGCATTTTGCAGGGGCGAATCGCATGCCAAACATACGAAGATTGCTGCTCAGCTCAAGGTGTTCAGAATACTCTGCTGGATTTTGTCAGCATCCTCCCCTAACAGGACTATGTCATCTGCATATTCTAAGTCCATAAGACTATTTCCTGGTAACAAGTCGATTTCTAAGTCGTTACGTTCAGTTAAGGTTACTGGCCTGGTGGTACTCAAACGAATCAGCCAGCGATTAACAAACACTTTATTATAGACTAAATACACCAACTAATAAAAAGTACATCATGTGACCAGAAAGTTTAAATTCCAAGTCAATAAGAAAAATGATCAATACATATGTAAAGATGGTTACCGGGAGACTCAATTCTATCACAACTCATAAAAAAATTTTAATCATTTCACTTTATGCTAAAATTTGCGCTGAGGTGGGATGTTGTCCAACGGGGGGGGGGATGACAAAAGCTCCACAACTAAACCAACTAGCTCCTCAGAGAGCACTATTAATTGCAAATCATCCACCTTAGCTACAAATCTTCTATATTATGTGTTGATTTCCTTAATAAACAATCTATTGCCTGACTCTTATCTTCTGTTGTTACATTTAGTGTCGCTGCTTACCGACAAATGGAAAGCCTACGCCCTGCAGCTTTTGATGGAGACATATGGATCTTCGCGCACGACTTCGAGGCTTCTGCGCAGTTGAGTAGCGTTCAAGATTGGTCAGCGATGAGGCTACTACTTTGGACGCTGTTGGGAGGTCGGGAGAAAGCAGCATATGAAAGTGTGAGGTAAAATACCTACGAATTTTCGACACGGACAGGAAAACAGTTTCCGAAGTGGGAAGGACCATATATCATCACGTTGAGATGGAATCACGTAGACACAATCGCAATAGTAAACAAAGAGAAACAGGTGAACATCAATGAGTGCCGAAATTCCAGACAGAAAAACAAACGAACAAAGACTCCATAACGAAGAACGAAGACCGAACCAGCTTCAGTCGCAAGTCTTTGAAGGGGGTGGGGAAGGGGGAACGAGTGTGATGAGAGCTATCTGCCAGCCAAAATTGGTAGATAGTAATTTACGTCAACAATGTTTATGTCCCAAATGTTGGTCGTGAGAAATGAACAAGAACAAAGATCGACTGACTGACTCAACAACAAATCACAGAACACTTTCTCCGCGTAGGTGGATACAATCACCAGATAGACGATAGATGATCTGACCTTCAAGAAACAGCCACAGAGAGAAACAACCAATCAGGAGACGAATAATGTACGTGAAAATCTATAAATATGTGTTGAATTCGTAAATAAACAATCTGTTGGCCGGCCATCGTCTTCTGTTGTTACATGTATATACTGATTCCAATTCGACAACAGTATATAGATTAATGATTAAGTAATTAATAAAACTATTTGGCAACATTATAGATAAGATTTTATTTTGATAAATCGCACAGTGTTTACAGTAATGTTTACTGATGACGTTTCGAGCACAATTTATTGCTCATAGTCATATCAAGGTAATCACACGACTTCCTAATTTCATTTATATAGTTCCATTGTTTTTCTCTTGATTTTCACTTGATTTGATTGGTAATAGTATTTTCCATATTTCAGGTATGAGTGACGAATCATTCCTATTGCATGTGTTGGGTGTAGACTCGATGAACAAGGATTCAGTAATCAACCTCTCTCTCCACCTATCTAGATTACTTTTTAAAATTTTAACCCTCTCCCACCCTATTGTGTGGTTGTGTGTTAGCGCATGCATTGCGATTGCTGAGCTTTTTTCTAAATTATTTATCTTCTCGGGGTCAACCATTCTTACCTTAGCTAAATTTTTATGCTCTGACAATCTGACTACCCCTGACCTACTAGTTTGACCTATGTAGTTGACCTCACAGTCATTGCATGATATTTTGTAAATAATATTATTTTGTCTAATTGGGTCAACTGGGTCCTTTAACCTACAGAGCTTGTCCCTGAGTGAGTTTGTAGGTTTAAATGCCACCCAAGTTTTATACTTATATTTGGCAACAATTTCGAGTTCAAACTGCAGGTTGGCACAGACAGTGAGGAGTTTAGATATACATCGAGTAAGTATTAACTAAAATGATACAAGTTTTAAATATGATATTCATGTTTAATCTCAACACAAATAGTCATTACTCACATACACACTGACAAGGAGAGAAAAAAGATGGTATTCGACTACTGTTCCACTAAGTGGTGATCTCATGCTTACTAACAATGTATTGTACTTGCAACTGTTAGATTTTATCTCACCAACTAACACCAGAAAACTGTTTCATCTTAGTTTTTTTTAATTTTTTCAACAGAGCACACTCACGACCTAAACAGGGATAGAAGCTGAGACATTCAGGCTATTGGAACAGAGTCGTTGACTACTGAAACAGTGACGCGTGAATTCCCTCTCTTCTTCTTCCATGTGTATCTGCCAATTCAACTACTCCTGTGAAGTGGGCCAGTTACGTGCATAGGCCATACAGTTAGGCGTGTTTCTCATCGAATTTCCGAACATCATCCTGCACAGCGGTTGGTTGGTTAAGTAAAGAACAAACGGAAAATCTATTTACAGCGCTATTCTATCCATCTCACTCATCTTTCGGATACAGAACACACCACAAGACTGATTGATGTTAACAAGGCGGCTTTCAGGGTCATCTACCGCAAACCAGCTAACAAACCTCAATTTCGCCTTAAGAGTAGTTCGCCTTCTAAATACTTCGGAGACTGGTTGGCTGATCGTTGGGATCCACATTAACAAGCCTAATTTGTGCATCCAAAAGAAGTTGGTTAGTTCAGACATTATCCATCATTACCCACTTGGCCATCCATCTTTGTTATTATTATTATGTAAGCATCTTGAATGAACTGTGGTGATTCCATTGTGATCTTACTTTACAAATAGATATTATTTAAAAAGCACACCGATATTGTTATTGACTACTACTAATCTAGAATATTCTATGTATATACAAACATGCAGACATATATGGATATAATTGTAGAGCGAGTCGAGGAGGAGGAATTTACCGAAAAGGGGATATTCTTTGGCCTGGCTCAATTATATTTTGTGTTTTATAGAAGATGAATCTGAATGAATATTTTTGCTCATATTTATTATTAGTGTTAATTGAATTAGACAAGACATATCCGCTTTCAAATAATCCTTGCATGTTATTACATTTGTAAGGCAGATAAATTTCTCTGCATCAGAACAATCATCTTTTTCAAACAACAGTACACACTCAATATCAGTAAAATGTTTGAGCATTATGGAATTATTATTATTATTGTATCCTTTAGTTCCTAGAGGAACATAGGGCTTCAGCTGTGCACCTCCTCCATTGCCTTCTGTTTTCTGACAACTTTTTCACTCCGCTCCAGGCCTGTCCACATGCTTTCATCTCCTTCCCTTCACATGACCTCCTCAAAGTCACCCTTGCATCGATGACCAACTCGCCAGCCACTTCCCTTTCGAGTTCCACTCGAGCAATGGCTTGTCTAGTGATGTCGCTCACTTGATGGTTTCCTCAGAGTATAGCCGGCCAATCCATCTCCAGTTCTTCCTGCCTATTTGTTTGACAATCGGTTCTTGCTGTGTTGGTTCGCTCATTCCCAGATATTCCTGTTGCTGATCTTTTCTGGCTGGCCATCTGATCTTGAGTATTGAGCGAGAATAACCAGCTGTTGATGAAGGTCTGAAGTTTGTTTGAGATGCTCTTTATGACTCGCCAAGTGTGATCCGTATAGGAGCACTGTCTTTACATTGGAGTTGAAAATCCGGATCTTATTTTTGATGCTGATTGCTGTTGACCTCCACACAGATTTGAGAGTAATGAAAGCTTGTCTTGCTTTTCCGATTCTGGCTTTGATGTCCTCGTCAGTTCCGCCTGTAGTTGAGACGATGCTTCCCAGGTAGGTGAAGGAGGTTGTTTCTTTCAGGTTCTTCCCATTTATGCTTATTGTGGTCTGTTGGTGTTGTTGATGTTGGCTAGGAATCTTCATTATCTCTGTTTTATCTATGTTCACTTGAAGTCCTATCTTTGATGCTTCTTCTGCCAACTTGTTGCTTTTCACTAGCATATCTTCCAGTTTGTGGGAAATCAAACATATGTCGTCGGCGAAGTCCAGATTCTCCAAGTCTCTTTTTGTGTGAGTCCATTTTATGCCTGTTCTCTCGTTGGTTGCCGTTGTCTATCGCATTATCCAATCTACTGCAATCTGGAAGATCATTGGCGATAGTAGGCAGCCTTGTCTCACTCCCGTCCTCACTTCGAAGGCTTCCGTAAGTTTCCCGTTGTGGATTACCTGGCATGCAGCATTGTCGTGCAACTGTTAGATGAGATGTATAATTGTCAATGGGACCCCTTGGTAGTAGCGAAGTAGTTGCCAAATCACCTCTCGATCGACGCTGCGCCATCGAAGGCCTTTTCAAAGTCGATGAAGTTGAAATAGAGAGGTGACTGCCATTTCAAGCTTTGTTCAATGATGATCCGTAGAGTGGCGATTCGATCAATACATGATTTGTTTCTCCTAAATTCGGCCTGTTCCGGTCGACGCTTTTCATCCAGGTTGGCTTGTTTGATTCTCTTCAGGATGATGCGGCTTAGTATTTTGCTTGGAATGGACAGAAGCATAGTTCCACGCCAGTTTTTGCATTGACTTAAGTCTCCTTTCTTTGGTAGTTTGAATAAGTATCCGTTCTTCCAATCCTCGGGTACTTTACCCTCTTTCCACACCTTCTCCAGCAGTGGCGTCATCAAGTCCGCTGTTGTCTCTGGGTCTATTTTCAATGCTTCTGCTGGGGTTCCATCTGGTGTCTGCTGCTTTCCCAGCTTTTAGCATTTTGATTGCATTCAGGACATAGAATAGATGGTGATATAATAATATAATAATAATAATTCAAAGTGTATCTTCCCTATTTTTGTGCTGAATACGATCCTTTAATTTAAATTTATACACCTATGTAGTATACACACAGGCGTTAAAACAATGGTCACGCTATGTCGTGCATAAATTGTTAGAAGTCAGAATTCATGCATTGGCTGGCCATTGGATCGGGTCTGGTGCCAGTGGCCTTATAACCAGAAGGTCCTGGGTTCGAACCCTGACAGTGAGGTAGACGCGTACTGTTGAGTTGAAGGGTCCCAAACTGGGACGAGGAAAACGGCTGTCCTGCAGTACTACCTCCATCCAATCAGAAAAAAGAAAATAAATCCCTACAATAAAACCAATACTTGACAATGAATAGACTGTGGAACAAAAACATAGAATATATATGTATTCAACTCACAGGTGTTAATTGAAGTAGAACATTACGAGCGCCTCTTTCTTTGAAACTGATATAAGTAAATATATAATGTTATTATTATAATGTTATATGTACCTTCCAGTAACTTGTAAAAACTCTTCTTTAAAGTAGATATCCATGCCATATTCAGAAGACAGACGAGATTTCTGCAACATAGTGTATATGAATTAGTAGAAGAATAACACATTCTTTACAAAAGGGTTTATCACCTTACCTTACAATTTGTATATATTATACCATCCTTTATACGCTGTCTAGCAGATTCAACTTCATCAAATGTAAGAATTCTCGGATTCTCTGGATCACAGTTTGCATCAAATAAATCGGGATCATCTTCACTCGGTAAAGGGATATCTGATATAAATGGTTGATCAGCTGTCATTTTCTTGCAAAAGCAATGAAATATAACTCTGTGAATAATTATATTTATGTGTATAAAAGTAGAAACCTGATAAAAAATATCTCAATGTAAATTGGCAAATGTAAAATGAAAAAATGGCAAAAAAAAACACTTCCAAATGACCATGTTTCGATGCTTAAATATGCTCCTGATCAGACATCGAAGTCATTTTTATTCAAGTGTTGGTTTATAGGGATTTGATTGATTGGTTACAGGATTTCATCATGAGCTGACGTAGGTTAGACAACTATTGAAACCATAGGGAGTACTGGACAGCCGTTTCACCAGTCCTAGTTTGGGACTCTTCAGCAGTACGCATCCACCGCCAATGTTCGAACCCAGGACCTTCTGATTACAAGGCCAGCGAGCTCGTAGACCATTAAGCCATTAGGACCCAATCCAATAGCAGAAGTTAGAATTCATGGGCAATTGTATCGGGTCCCAGTGGCTGCTTAATGGTCTACGAGCTCGCTGGCTTCGTAACCAGAAGGTCCTGGTTTCGAACACCGATGAAGAGTCCCGAAGTAGGACGAAATATTTGTTCAGTACTACCTGTTTGGTTTTCCGGTGGTTTTCTAACCAATATCAGCTCATGATGAAATCCTGTAACCTAATTTATTTGCCAGCTGACTAACAATTATATGAAAATTGAGAAATATTTACAACTAAAATCATGTCTTTTTAACCAATCTAATATTTTCTTTGCTTCTAAACATATATTCTTGAAAAAATGTTCTGCCATCACACAATGACCAGTAGAGTTTTAGGGAAATCAGTGGGATTGGTTCAAAATCATTACCAGTGAGTCGGATGCCTTCATGCTTCGAAAGGTTCTGGATGCAAACTAAATCCTACTTCTTTTCCGTATAATTATTGCTTTATTCAAATTGATTCCTATTACATGTATTTGCACATTATAACTCAAAGATGGAGGCAATTCAATCCACTTATGATGAATTGAAAAGTCAGGAAGTGGAGCTTCCAATGTCAGATTGTTGCGTAAGAAGGAAAGAAGATGGGAAGTTAAATACACAATAGTGTGTGTGGGTGTTTACAGCGAACCCACACATTCAGACAGATATTCGGACTTCCGATCAGCCCACCCATCTTATGTCAGTGAAAATAGGATTGGCGAGATGTTTAAGCGACAACAGAGCACAAAAACTAAGTATTACCAAGGAAAATCTAAGACAGGAAGTAAGACATATAAGAGAAGCCTTCAAACATAATAATTACCCTGATAAATTAGTCAGGAAATGTGTAGGGAAATGTAAAAATAAAATAAATAATGATAGTAGTGATAGTGATCATACTAATAATATTAATGACAACATGCATGTCAAATATGCGCAAGATAATGACAACACCAACAATAAGGAATCTAAATCATCAGTAGTAATTTCATACATATACGGAAGGAACCTCGCAGAATTCTTAACAAGGCAGGCAAAAATAAAAGTGGCTGGAATTCAAACCAACCACAAAGTCAATTAGAAACAAGCTTTGTCGGTTAAAGGATCAATCCTATGGGGCCTTTAACACAAAACAATTTAGTTTATCCAACACCCTGCCTGCAACGATTGTCAGGTAAAATACATCAATGGGTCAAACTAGTAGAACAGGAGCAGTGAGTCAGTCAGAGTAACGGAGGATAAAAGCCTAGCAGCAAAATGTAGATTGGTCGACCCGAATAAGATAAGAAATCTAGAGAAAAGTTCAGCTATCGCAAGTACTACATGCAGTTACATATAACCATACAATAGGCTGGATGGGATGGGATGACAGTTTTAAAATCTAATACAACTAACAGGGTGGCGAGTGGGGAAGATTGATAACTGAAGCTTTGTTTATCGAATCAACTGAGATGTGGGAATACGTGTAATAAGAATGATTTAACACCTGTCCAGACAGATATCTGGAAAATTCTACTACCCAAATGACGATGACAAATAGGAAAGAACGAAGAAAACTATAAGATTCAAGTTTTGAAGTCGTGTGATTATATTTGGTGATATGATTATGAACAGCGATAATGAATTGTGTTCGAAACTTTGTCATCCAGTGATTACTAATACTGTTTCACTCACTGTGTGTCATACATCTAATAAACAAACTGATAATGATGGGAGAGGGTTAAAATTCTAAAAAGTAATCTAGGTAGGTGGAGTGAGAGGTTGATTACTGAATTCTTGTTCATCGAGTCTACACCCAGCACATGCAGTAGGAATGATTCATCGCTCATACCTGAAATATGGAAAATACTACTACCGATGAAATCAAGCGAAAATCAAGAGAAAAATAATGGAACCATATAAATGAATTTAGGAAGTCGTGTGGTTACCTTGATATGATTATGAGCAATAAATTGTGCTCGAAACGTCATCCAGTAAATACTAATACTGTTTCACTCACTGATTGTATGATACATCTAATAAAAAAACTAATATGAAATTACTTACTACCACCACAGTGCCTAAGTCTTACACATATATTAAAGTGTACATGAAAATGTATAAATATGTGTTGATTTCGTAAATAAATGATCTGTTGCCTGACCCTTGTCTTCTGTTGTTACGCAATGTACACGAAAAGAATAAGTGATAAAAATTTGTTGCGGATTTGTCACATAACAGCTATTTATTTTCGCAATCTATTTAACCTTTTGTGTAGTCCTATCAGCTATGATTCATAATTCAATCATACCAGTTAGTTCATTCAAAGAAATGAGGTAACCCCCAATTAGGATCAAATCAAATACCACCTGCGCAAAGTACTCTCAGTTCACCGGGAAATTTCAGCACAATTTTGTTTTAGAATGTGGTTATAGCTGTCTGCTAGCTAGCCAAAAATTGGTAGACAATAATTTACGTCAACAATGTTTTTGTCCCAAATATTGGTCATGAGAAGGCAAAAACAAGAACAAAGACTGACTGACTGACTGACTCAACAACCAATCACAGAACACTTTCTCCGCGTAGGCGGACACAATTAGCAAATAGACGATAGATGATGTGACCTTCAAGAAATAGTCACAAAGAGAAACAACCAATCAGAAAACTGTGTTTGTCTTCTAACAACAATCAATAATAATGATGTACATGAAAATCTATAAATATGTGTTGATCTCTCAAATAAATGATCTGTTTGATTGGCCCTTGTCTTCTTATGTTACAAGAACACCAGCAATGTTCAGCTTCACACTCCCAGCGTGTTTTTGGACACTATGAATGGTGTCATTTGAACACACGACACACATTCACACACACACACCCTATTGATTGATACATAAGGGTTATGGAAAGTCGACCAGTCAGTCTCAACCAGTAGAACATGCTGATTGAAAGCAAAAAAAAGAGACGGAAGCCATCTGATACACACAACTGCACATATGTGTGGTGAGTTCTACATTCATATATTAGTCAGGATAATATACACCTATTGTTTTGTATTTAACTGCTTATCTTCAGCTGTGTATATGAGCGTGTGTGGGTATATGGTATTTATTACATCACGGAAAATCGTTTAACACTTTATTTCATATGACACAAACAGGTTGATTAGTAGAGAACTATTATATAATATCACAATAAATATTTTTTTTTAAAACCTGTTAAGCATAAGGTCGAATTCCCGGTTCACGCGATCATTCATATTTATATATATATTCAAAAATATTTTATTATTTTTCTCATTTTCGATTACAGCTTGATTCCATACAGTACATTTTTTTGATAGAAGTATGGAATTTATATATGTATTTCCAAAGAATGGATACTGAACAAAAAGTACTCTTTTCGATAACCTTTTCATCATCATCACCAGGCTCTACAGTTATATATCCATCCATTACAGTGAGTGAATGAATGAATGAATTAGTGTTATGAACAACAACATTAATGTTACTGTTTAAATAACATCGAATCAATGATAATAATAATCATACCAATGAATTACAGTTCAATAGCATCAACATAACAATACACACTGAATGTCAGTTTAGTTAGGAAAGATGATATTACAAATTCATGAATGTATAGTCTCTACTGAAGGCTGGCCAGGGCAGTAGTAGTGGCTAGGTGGCTGGACTTGCTTCTTCTCCACACAGACACACACAGCACTGGTAGTTTGAGACGAATTGCAATAGCCTCTGGTGTTTGGAGGAGCATTCTGTGCTTCGATGATGATTTTGGAAATTTATTAGGCACCCGTAGATGATGATAGAGAAAGATTCTTCCACGCTGGCTGATTTGCAGATGGCTTTGTGGACGGCTGTTCGGCCGGTTTGCACCAGATGGTCAAATATCGAACTGTTGATGGTTGTTTTCACCACACCTTTACTTAGCTATTCGTGGAGATGTTCTCAAGCGAGCGAGCACGAAAAATCAAGTTCCTAGAGGAACAACGGCCACTACAACTCGCTCCACCACAAGCACAGTTTCACTTGAATTGGTAGATAAAATTGGAAGTGGACAGCTAGTCTAGGTACTTCATCCTTCAGTCAAGGTAGCACCATGAGTTGTGTAGAGAATAAGACGTGTAGTTCGCCGCCAGCATTGAAAGTTCTTTCAACTGATTTTCTTAATTTCGTCGTAATTATCTCACTTGGTATATCAATCATCCTTGAATTACAGTCGCGCATAAAGAGGCTTATTGTTTACAGACAGTGACTGAGTAGTCCTTTTCCGCCGCTTTCTTTGTCATGTGTATCTTGATGAATTTGTCGGGATAGCTATTTTCGATCGATCAAAGTATCATATACAATGCTTGATTCATCTTCAATTACTTCTTCTGAGCATATAGCTCTAACTGTGGGTGAATTAGCGTCTTCACTAAATTTCTTTTGTAGTTGAGAGAGGAATGAAGCTGTGAAAATGTGTTTAACGATGTCCTGCGGTCCAAGTACTTTTTCTATACTTAAAAATTTCGTTTTGTTATGCTGCCATCAGGTTTTTTTTGTAAGGGCGACGGAGATCCAGGAGGGCAAT